ACTCAGTGCTACCTGCTTTCAGAAAATTCTGGCCCACAAAGCGCAATCTCAGGAGATTTGGCTCTGCTCACTAAATATCCCTTTTATTATCTTTTTCTCACCGTAGGGAGAGGTATAAGCTGGACTACAGAGCACAGACACAGGGCTGCTTTGGCATATGTTCTGTGGCATGAAGGCATTGGCCTTAGGTGTGGAAATAAACATCGTGTAATAGCAGGAAGGTTCTCTAGGTCTTGGTGTTTATGTAATTTGTTATGGAAAAGATTCTGAAAGGCAACTCGATGAAACATCAGAAGGAAGATGGGGCAGAAGGAGGGATGTCTGCTCCAGTACTGAGAAAGGCTAATTCTGTATCAGGATCAAACAAATGTGACATTTTCTATGAAAAGGAATGAGTGGGAGAAAGGGATGAAATATCTTTTAGAGAAAGCCTGGCGTGTTTTAAATGAATTTGTCAAACCTTCCCACAAGGTCTTTTGCTGCAGCTGCTCCTTTCAGGGGACCTAGCAGCCTTGACAGCCTTGGTTAGTCCCAGCAGGGAAGCCAAAAGCCCTGGATCAAGCCCAGGTAGCCACAGTTTATAGTGTTTTCACGCTGTATCTTTTCCCTCAGAAGACAGAAAAGCCTACACGCGCCTGACAACCACTTTGATCTTTGACAAATCTGCATTTTCCAGTAGTCACATACTGCATTGGGAATTACCCCACAACCCCTAACGATATGACTGGATCCACTGAACATTCCCAAGGGTCGGCGCATGTGGTGAAATGCCAGGTGGGCATTACCTGTGAGGCTGGGTAGTGCGCGAGCCACCTTTCGATGTGGATGGCGTACCAGCCCGGGGTCAGGCAGCGCTTCTGCAGGGTCCTTATCTCGGAGGGCGCCCAGTGGCCTGACGTGATCACCTCGTAGAAACTGAACTTGAGAGCAGCGGGGTCCTCGTGGGATCGCTGGTGCTGATGGAAGACAAGGAGACACACGTCACGGAGACCCGGGCGACTAAGCCGTGAGCAAAGAGCAAGGATCAAGGGAAGTGCTCCTGCTTTCCATGGAGAGCAAAAACGTGTCTCGTCAGCGCCTCCTTTCCCAGGGCCTCCTGCTTCTCAGGGTATGCGGGTATGTTACCTCTACCACACTGGACAATGGCTGCTGGCTTTCATGCACGTGTAATACCATTTCTCCCATAAAGAGGACACTTTGTCTGGGCACTCCAGAGGGAGCCAATTGAAAATTACACATGAACTCGTTTTCCTGCACTGCTCAGGCAGCTGCATTCCCACAGCGCGCAGGCCCTCAGCAGGCCCCGTGCGGATGGGGCTGGCGGAGGCTGCGCTCGCACAAGCAGCCCAGCTGCAGCCCCAGAGCAAGCCCGCAGCTCCCACCCAGCTTCCTTCCTCGCTGAACTCTTACTGACAGCACCAGAAATACTGCTCTTGGTGCCTGGTGCAGTATTTTTCACGTGGCTCTGTTTTAACACTGTCTTTCCTCTTTTATATAACTGCACCTCACTCTGCATATGTGTTTCTGTGCCTCTTGAGAAAGTGCATCGACTCTCTTTGGAAAGGTGTGGGCTCAGTAAGAGACAAGGAGTATCCTAGCATTTCCTAGGAAAACCTACAGGCCTTTTTTTTGTTCCTAAACAAACTACTACTCTTCCTACTCTTCAGATGTGTGGTTTTATTTTTATTTTTTTTATTTTGGAACCTCTCAGAAACTTGAGAGGATTGTCATGCAGGGGCTGTTCCTTAGAACTGTGAAGCCTGGATGACATATCTGCTGGTCAGTCACAGAAAAGAGCTCTGGTTTCCCTTGGGTATCTCTCTGGGTGAGCAGCAGTGCTAGCCCACCATGAAGTGCTCAAGGGCACTAATGCACGTTGGTGTTGGTCACTAATCCCTGATGCTGATTTCCCTGCCCGTTTCTTGAAGGCAAGATCCATACCTGGTACCAGGAGTACGCCCGGTCAGACGGGTCGATGAGGATGGTGATGATCTTGGCCTTGGGGATGAGGGAAGCAGCTCTTCTCGGCGCTTCCTCCGAATGGAAATAGTTGGCGCTTTTCTCGAAGAGGAAGTCAGTGGTGACATTGGAAGGAGTGGGGAAGAAATCCATGTACCTGGGAGAGAGGAAGAAAACAATTAGAAACAGCAATACAAAGAAAAAAAAAGAGTGGGAGGAGAGCACATATCTGTGTGTTTTCTCTCTGGAAAGGGGAATTTTCAGAGGTAATTCTTTAGAAGCAAAAATAACTTTCTCAGCTCACTCCAAAACTGGAATAGGAGGAAAAGAGCACAGCTTTTAGCTGGGGCTGGTAATAACAGACACCTCCATGAAGTCAGGTAATTAAGTTTCCTTTTTCGATGGGTGGACTTTTTGCTGGTAACTTGGATGTCAGGGGAAAGTCTCTCATCAGTTTGGAGTGAGCTCAGTTTTAGCTGTAGAAAAAATGGAGAAAGCTTCTAGATGTCAAATGCTTCATTTCAACATCTCAAAATATTACATTTAACAACTGAGAAATCTTTTGGACTTTTTCAGAATGAGAGTTTTCAATTTTGTCCTTGAATGGTCTTTCTCATTTATAATTCAATGAGAGTAAAAGTAAGTAAAATGGGAGATTCAGTCAAAAGGTTTAAGAATTTAAATGAAGCAAAATGTGAAATTGCTTTGGAGGCGGCTTTTTGGTTCCCTGAGCATTGCTGGGAGCTCCAAGAAATTCCAGTTTTATTGTGACCAGTTGTTTCCGTATACTTTTCTGCGGAAACAAAGTATGTGTGGTCTCCCTCCACACATACGATCCCAGCAGCATTCAAAGCTGTGGGCCAGCCTGAGTGCAGTGTGGCAGCAGAGGTCTCGGGGAGGTCTGTCTCTTCCCCTGCATCTCCTCTGCATAAAGGGACATTTTTCTCCCTTGAAAGAGAGAAGCCACAGCAAAAACCTCTCTCTCTGCCAGAGTTATTTATGGGAGAAAGGGACTGCAAATGCTCCAGCCACCCACGGCCTCTGCTCGTCCTGTTGCTCCTTCCCCTTGCTAGCACACCTGTACAGATATGTACCCTTTAGGAGGCCCCTGTTAAGGCAAGCTGGGGATGCCAATCTAGGGCTATCGTGCACGTGAATTAGAGGGGCACCTCTGGCCTTGCAGTATTCCCAAATCCTGGCAGCTCTCAGGAGCGAGCAGGGAGTGCACCCACTGAACAAGCAGGCAGCCCCTTTGTGCATGCCCCAGATGACCGCTCGAGTCAGACCCAGAGCCATGTGAGCCCTATTTCTTTACACCATATGAAAAATAAATGCGAGGCATTTATTTCTCGTTATTGTTTGTGACACTTTGACTCTAGAAGCTGGTCTTGCAGCTGCAGCAATGGTCTGCTATTATCAGCTAGTTTCGTGGGGTCTGGATGCTCTCCATGCACAGGCAGGGAAAGCAGTCTGAGATTACTCTTTTTTTTTTTATACAATGTGATGTTTGTCTTATAGCTCGAAAGCAGTCTGAGATTACTCTTTTTTTCTGTACAATGTGATGTTGTCTTATAGCTTGGTTTTTACACAGGATGAGAACAGCTGTTCCCTGGAGGAACAGAGCCCTTACAAATGCTTTCCCCAGCAAAAACAGTAAGAGCAATGTTTAAAAATCGTAACAGGAATATCAGCTAAAAATCTTTATGGACAGTTTGGTTTTTTTTTCTTCTAAAGAGCAGACTTTTACTTCATGAAAAGATCCATTTTAAGAAAAAAAGTATAACTCATCATCTCTCTTGAACTGATACAGCTATGAAAAGACTAGAGGTTATATTCAGCATGAAGACAGACATCACAACTGAGCTTGCTGTTGTATTCATTTGCTAAAAAATACAGAAATTGTTACTGTAACATTTAAACAAAATTAAGGACTCGATTAAAAGTCCCATTGTTGTGAAGGAGTTTCTCACTCTCATTAGTAACACCAAGCATAACGAATTCATCTAGTAATTATGCAGCTGTCTTACATACTTCTGTAATTGCTCCATTGTGATTTAGCATCTATTAATGAGGAAGACTTCATTTTTGTTACTCTTCTTACCAGTCAATTCCTTTGTGATAGTTGTTTCCATTGAAGAACTGAACTTCTTCAAAAGTTTTGGGGCTAGGGAGATTACTGATGATGGAAGGATGCATCAGAAGAAATAGATAAAGTGCTGTTGTTCCTACAATGACAAAAAGAGATGCCATTAGGAAATGGAAAAAAAAAAAAGACTTTATTCATTTAAGCAAGTATTTCTGAATCAAGGCACACGTAGATAAACTGGAAAATGGAAGAGATCATCTTTCTAAGAAAACTGCCTGTTGCTGAGAGGTGCTTTCGGGGAGAGCTGGGAATGAGCAGGGACCTCCCCTGCGCTCACTGAACTCTGCACATTCCCAAACTCCGCTCTCCGTGCAGCGAGGATGCCGCAGTTGATGATACTGCTCGCTTGGCTGCGTATTTAGCCAGGATGGATTTGGGCCAGAACGTGTTACTTTTTAATCTATATGCTGCCAGAGCTTTTCAAGTGTACTCAGTGTGGGAATAGGCTCCTGTTGCTCCCAACACTGTACTTTTGTTCTCTGTTTTTCCTGGGGGGTAAAACTATTCCAAGTGACATTGTATATTAAAGTGCCAAAAACCCTGTGTGTAGTAAGTATATTTTGAAATGACAATAACATAATTTTCTGTTACTTCTTTGATAAAAACTACTGAACTGATAGATGATGCTAAATGAAATTGCAGGAGAACGTATCTTTAAAATTGCTCTTCAGTGATTTTATGCTATGCAAAATAACACCAGACTGTAAATCAAGAACTCCTGTCTCTTTGTCACTGTCATAGAATTTCTATATAATCTTGGATCAGTCTTTTATTTCTCTGCCTCAGCATCCACTTTCTGTACATTGTCAATAACAGTAATGGCTATCTTGGGAGTGGAAATACGTGGCTTCATTTAAATAATGTCCCGAGACCCCCAGAGAGGCCTGTAAGGTGATGTGTTTACTGGCAATTAGGGTCTCAAATGATATAGATATAATTTGTCAAAGCATACAAACAACAAATTTAACTCGGGGCCCCATGACAGCACATATTTTATGCACTGCTTTCTGGTGTGGACTCTCCTCACCGGGGGACTAAACTCGGCAGTGGATGTAGGTGGATGTGCTACCTGGCTACCCGGCTGCTGTACAACCCTTTGCCTTTTCTGCTCTCCCAAACCTGTGCCTGCTGGCTTTGAAAGTGAAAAAAGCCCATTCTGACAGAAACCGTCAGCGAGGCAGCTTAATTCTGTTTGTTATTCTAATCTACAGCGTCTTTTCGGTGCCTGAGAAAGTAGTTACTGTAAAATTATCCCTTAAGTAGGTGTATGCAAAGGCTGCTTGTTACCTGCCCTTGGCTTCCCATGTTTCCAGTCGCCCTGCTTCCCTCTCGCTGCAGAGAATTCGGCACCTCTACTGCCAGTGAAACCCAGCCTTGGAGGGGCTGCGAGCACAAAGCCCGTAGTTTAATACGATTTAAATCCCTGCTTTAAATATGGATGAACCTGAGGGGAATTTCACCCTGTTTTAACAATAAAATCTAGAATGACAGGAGAACTTGCAGAATCTCACTGCAAGGAGAGCTCCCCTAAAATGGCGAGCTACCTCTTCTTGCTGAAAAGAAGCCAGCCAAACATGTCACCAAAATAACCTGTCTTCACATATTTCGAAGCATCTTCCCCTACAGGGAGCAGAGCCTGCTGTGCAGTTTTAATGCTTTCCTGCTTGATGATGTGATGCATCCAGCGAGGGCTGCAGTGGCAGAGCAAGGCAGCGCAATGCCACCACAGGAGCACTTGTCCCCGTCTTTGGGCCGTGCAGGAGCCGGTTGCTCGCAGGTACCGGCAATGCGTGATGGCTATAGCTGGGAGCTGCCTTCAGCGTACAGGAGACAAATACACGTGGGCAGGCCTAGGGGGTGCTACCAGCGTGCGCAGGCTTCAAAAATGTGTAGTTTCCTACCTGTTTTCTGGGGTCCTATGACAAGGAATTTGGGTAGGTGGTCACAAGTTTTATCTCTGGACCAAATGTCTCTGTGTCGCTTATCGTCACATGGGTTCTGAAGGAGAAAAGAAAAGAAATGCTCATGCGAGCCAGGGAAACCCCTGGTGTACTGCACGCCTGCTGGTCACTGCAGGCTCCAGTTGCTATACGCCAATGCCAGAGCATTATGCTTAACAGTCAGATCCCAGATTTCCTCCCAGGAGCTTATTCTCTAGAGCTGGGTCCATGGAAGCGCTTACATTTTGGCACACCCTGGAGCGCTTTGCTGCACAGGGACCACGCTGCCCGGCTTGGAGGGCTGCCGGGGAGGGCAGCTGTGGGAGCTGCACAGTTGTGCATGTCTCAGGAGGAGCAGTGTCACACTGCAGACCCTGCGAGGCTCCAGTGTTCCCTCCTCTCTGCTAGCCCGGCTCTTTGCCCCAGCTCAGAGTCCTCAGGCAGATACTTGGCCATAGGCACCTGCGTACGCACCTGGGCAGTCCCTCTGGTGGGAACTGAGTACGGATATCGTGGCTTTGCATGACTGAGAATTACGTTTAGTCATTAAAAAAAGGCGGAGGCGGGGAAGGAGAAAAAGATTAAAACATCGATTTAATCAGTCTTTCAGTTGAGCTTAAAATGGAAACCTCTGTTTGAATAGCTTCAAGGCATTACTTTCTTAGGTGACAAAATGTTTTCAGATATATGGTGCTTAGTGCCAATTTTGTTTACATAAGAATCCAAAAAGAAGGACAAAATAGAAATGTGAGATACTACTCATCTCCTTATCTTTCTACTACCTATGAATAGAAAATAAAAATGTGTGAACAAAAATCCCCATACAAAAGGTCAGGATTGACCATTCCTTAAGACAGGTATCATATGGATCCTGCTTTTGCATAGTATTTGCTGCCAATGGAAGATAAAGTTTGCCAGTGAATAACGGTAACAAAATAACATGGAGAAAAGTATGGGAATCAAGGCAGCTCCACTAAACTCAATGGAAATGTCTTGGATTCCCACTTCTTTTGCATCCGGGCCAAAAGCAATAGGGGAAATTTCTGCTCCTTTTTCCCAGTGTAAGCCTGAAATAGCTTCACGGATCACCACAGTGTCACTCTGGATTTATGTCCGCACAGCTAAAGGCACAACGTGGCACATCATACCCTGAACAAGAGAGGAACCAGGTAGGTATGGCAATGATTTGAAAATCACGCTACAAGCAGCCTGTTGTGCACTGGAAGTGGAAAACAGCCATTTGTATGCTGTGCAGAAGCCCTCTCGCAGGCTGGAAACAGCCGCCCACCCGGCCTGCCGCGCTTGCTCCCAGCCCTGCCGCATCCCCTTCCCTGGCTGTCCAATGGGAGGGCAATTGGATGCTTTTAATGTGCCTGATATTGGCTGAGGGGAAGCCAGCCCATTTCTAGATGAAAGCCTGTGAAGAAAATCCAAATAATTTGAAAAGTCATGTAGAAAAAGAATAAAACATTTTAATGTGAAGAGAGCATTTTTTCCCCCTGTCCCGAGAAAAGGCTCTGTTTTCAGCCCAGGCACTGCAGCCGAGGGGGCGCCGGGGATGCGCGTTACCTGCCAGAGAGGGTCTGTCTGCTCAGGGAAGAGCTCGAAGTACTTGTGCGCCAGCTGCAGCGGCGGCAGCGTCCGCAGCCGCAGGTTGGTCGAGCTCCTCACAAAGTTGGCCAGGTTGGCAAAGGTATAGAGCCCCAGGCGGTCGTTCCCGTAGTTGGACAAGTGGGTCATGAAGACGCTGATCTGGGAGAGGCAAGAGAGCTTGTTCAGGAGCGGGACGTGGGCAGGTGGCAGCGTCGGCCTGGCTCTGGGGCCGCCCTGGGCCTGGGGAGGACCTGCCGAGGCCTCGCGTCCTCACGCACGAGCAGCAGCAGATGCTAAACCAGCCCCACTTCTAAGCTCCCTGACGGCTGTGGTCAGTCCTTGTTTTCCCCCACCCTTTCCCCCACGTTTCTGAGGATTTTTGCCATGGCCCCACGTGTGGAACTACCACTCGCTTTTGAGACGGCAGCACTGTAGGTAGATAAGGAAGTCCAAAAACAGAAAACTTCTGAGCCTTTATGAAAAATGATATCTCAGCTAAATATCACTGTCATTGATTTCCCCTTAAAGGCAATATAACTTCTTTCTATTTATCAGCCTTATTGTATTTCTTCTTTACATGGTCACTGCTTTGTAGATCTCGTCTTCTCATTCAGGGAGATAAAGAGAAGAATATGTACGGACAGTGTGAGGAATGTATTTCCCAGGGTTTTCTCTATATGAGGCTATCAAGCTCAAGTCCAGTGCCGCAAATGCCTGGTTTATCTGTGTATTGCCATTATTTGGCTTTTTGAGGGCACTTTCAAAGTGAGATTTTTTACTCAACTGCTCTGCTCCATGAAGTGGCTGCAGCTGGGAGACCCACTGACAGGACAGTTTAATTGCACAGTTATCAAGAAATAACAACATAGCAGTAACTAAACAGCGTGCATACTTTTTTTCCCTGTCACGGCTCTGAAGTAACCCGTCAGTAATATGCAACCTAGTTGCAGAAAGTCCAGATTAACTTATGTGACAACAGCAGTTAAGTGAAAAGGTATGCCCAGTAGGGCACTTAATAAAGGTATCATGCTTGGAGATGGCCCCAGTATGAAAGAAAAAAAAAAGAGAGCTACAGTGCTGCTTGTAGCAAACTACAGAACAGGATGGTGGGAAGTTTAGCATTTCGTTATTCTGCCTTCATGCAGTCTCAGGCTAGCAAAGGAAAATAAAGTGCCAGCAGCTGGTGAACTCAGTGGTCACTTGGTAAAAATATTGCATCCACGGATGTCAGGAGTTTTGCTCTTCCCAGGTCCCATGCATCTATCCCAGCTATGAGCTATGCAGATTTTTTTTTTGATCAAAAAATCCCACAAGGACAGTATTGCCTTATGTGAGAAGGGCTCCTTCACTCAAAGCTAAAAATATCTCCCTATCAGGGGGATTTATTGGTGACCTTTATGACAGTGTCCTCTCATGCTACACCGAAGCCCAGAAGAACCGTAAAATAACACGGGAGCAGAGCCGGATCTGTCATAACTAGGTGAAATGGTGCCAAGCAGCAAGCATGGGCACCTGACAGACCGGATGCTCAGGATGAAGACAGTATATTTTGCATTTTTTTCATATAGCCAGTTAACATGAGCACACTGAGCACTCTGTATCTCAAGCCATGGGAGAGCTTGGTGCCTCAAGCACACTGTATGAGGGAGCCACTGCCAGCCTGCTGGGCCAGCGGCTCTCCTGGCCAGCAGGCCGAGGCTTGCAGGGCATCAGCCCAATGTCTGCCAGGGCCACAGGTGATCTGCTTGCCTTGCAGCTGGATATCCCCAACCAGGAGAGTCTCTTTTAGGAAGATTAGGAAGGGGAATGGGCAGCTGTGGGCACTCAGCATCAAGTGCTTATATTGCAGTGTGATGGGAAGAGGCAATTTTACTGCCAGAGGCTGGGGGGTATGTGTGGGCTCCTGCTCTGGGACCTGTAGCTGGGCATGGGTGTCCTGCGTGCTGGGAGTGTGTGGAGGTCAGTGTGCTTTCTCTCTGTGGTGTTGGGCTTTTGAGTTTGGGCTGCGTTCCCTCAGCGTTTGAATTGAGCAAAGTGGGAGTGTTGAGATGGGTGCTGTTGCAATGGAGTGCTTGAGGCTGTGGGTGTCCCTCTCAGCACTCTGTGCATCCTGGGGATGTTGAGGGCCTCCTAGAGCAAATTGCTTTTCCTCCCTTAGAAGCGAATTTGTTCTTTAGTATGTTGCTGCTTTGTGGTGCTTGAGTTCTAGCGGAGCAAAGCGCTGCTGCTGAAACACTGTGCTTATAGTGAGATATGGTTTTGGCTGTTCAAAATAGCCACAGCAGAAAAAGTTGCAGGCTTTCTGTTTATAGAGGCTGGCTCTGCCAATGTGTCACTTCTTTTTTCTTTTTTTAAAAAAAAAAAAAAAAAATTAGCCCACAATGTTTAAAAACATGTCCATTAGTCTGTTTAATCATTTATAAGGCTTTTAGAACTTCTATAAGGTAAAGATGGATGCAAGTTAGGAAAAAGTGTCCCTTATGACTCATCTGCAGCTTGTTTGCACTACACCCACTTATTCCACAAAAGGTAACTTATCCTTCATTTTTATTCTGAGACTCCTTTGAGCAAAGATTGGCAACTACTCAAGATGTTTTTCTTCCCCCCACCCATGAGCTGGACTTTGTAGCTTTCAATGCCTCTATGTTTTATGGTTGAAAAGTGTTTGACATAACCGGAGCAGGCATTAAAATTGCCCTACATTGTGTGTGTCTATATGTGCTAACTTGGAAGCTTATAAGCAAGGTAGAGAAACTTCTTTGGTTTCTCTGTCTGATTTTTTTTTTTTAAATCAACACTTCTATTCTGGTTTTGATACCTGCTTATAAAAATGTGACAAGTGTTTCCTGTACACTGTTTAAAAATGAGAAAATGAATAAGTAAATCCTTAAGAAATGTTGGTAGTGAACATCATCTTGTCCCTGAAGTATTTTTCTGTTCTTGGTAAGTGCCAAGGAGTTTGTCAGTGCCAGATAATATTGTTCCAGTAAATAAAATGTAGGTAAGTAAATCTACTTACTCTTTCTGCTCTTTAACTTTGACCTTGGATAAGATTTTTTTAAATGTAAAAGCATGTCTATATGAGAGAGATTAGGTCATCTTCATTTAAGAACTTAATTAGAGAGCTGCCTAATCCAAACATTCATTTGATCATTCTTCATGGAGTCAAAAAGATCTTGGCTAGGTCTCTTGACTTTTTTTGCCCCTTCGGTCTTATTTGAAGAGTGGGAAAAATAGTGTGTTGTATATAGTACAAAAGCATATTTAATTTTCTGCCCCTTCTATCTGAATCAACTGAGATAAAAGGAGATGGGTATTAGGTGTTTGTTCTTACAGCACAGGTGTTGACAGAAGTGCATTTAGCTGCTGCTGAGCAGTGAAGATGCCCAAGAAACTGCAGCTGCCTGTAGAGGTGCTGCATTTTGCAAGGCCAGGTACTGCTTTTTGGAGGGTGGCAGGGCCCTGCCTGGGGCAGCACAGCAGTGGGGGGCTGCATTTTGCAAGGCCAGGTACTGCTTTTTGGGGGGTGGCAGGGCCCTGCCTGGGGCAGGCTCTGGCAGCCTTGTGCTGGGCCTGGGCTTAGCTCGCTCAAGCCGTGTGTTATGTGCAAGCCCTGGTTTTGGCCCTTTCACTGTGGTCACTGACATCTTGAGCGACTGAAGTGGGGGGGAAATGCTGAAGGGTTAGGTATGAAAACTTTATTTGAATTCCTCTCTCCCTTCAAAATCTCTCTGCTTTCCCTCATCTGATCCTGCTTGCTGCCTCTAGTGCAGCTGCCTCCCATCCCTATCACTTTACCTTCTCTGCCATTGGGACCTTTTTGTTATAGAGGTATTTGCTATTACTATTTTTATCTCCCCATCTTATTGTATGAGGATAAGAAACAACTACAACTTTTCAGCTGTGGATTTCAAAAGATCTTAAGTGCTGAGATTTGTATTTTGCTAGTGAGGAGCCTGGGGCATGGAGGGCTGGTGTGATATGCAGGAGATAAATCGTGAGGCTGATTAAAGATTTGGAAAGTCAGATAACCTCTGATCCACCCTAGCATCCACTAGACAAAGCTGGCACTGAAGTATCTAGAAGAGGAGAATAGCTACTAACATCAGTTAAAAGGGGAAGAAATATCTATATGAAGAGACTCCTTATCCAAGTAACTAATTCCTGGGGATGGCGCTTCAAAGTCAATGGGATTTTCATTAAATCTTCTAGGGAGAAGTAAGTTGGCCTCTTTTCTTCATCTCCAAGAGAAATAAAACCTTAAGTGTTAAGGCTCGAAGCTATAAGCATGAACTGGCTTTGTATTTTTACAAATACATTTATATTAAAAAATCTGATAGACAAAATCCTACTTTTTATTCAATGCTGCAACTATTCAAATTTTTGGAAGAGCAAATGCCAGCCTATTTCTCCTGGTTCCTGCTACCCGCTTTTTATTAGTGTTACAAATAGGTGCATGGTGGTCTATAATTTCCCTACTCCCAAAAGGAAGGAAGAGGAGAAGGGGTGGGACTGGATTTTTCAGGCCACCTGCAGTTGATGTGCCTTTCAGGCTGGTGAATTATGTAAACTGCTTCCCCCTTCAGCTGGGTGGGCAGAGGGAAGGAAAAGTGGGTATTTCATCCAATAGAAGCTGCATCCTCAGTCTGCTTATTTACTGGTTTCCTTGCTTTCAAGTCATAATATTTGGTTAGTGAAGTATTAACAAACTCAAAGTGCTGTGACCTGAGCCAGCTGGGCATGGAAGTGGAGGCCTTGCAGAGCTGAGCAGCAGGCCAGCTCTGCGGAGCTCCTCAGTGCTGGGTCTAAGGGCACTGCTTGCACCTACTGCCAGGCTGGCTGGGGCCCCACTTTATGCTCTGGTTCATGTCTGGGGTGGGCTTAAAAATCAGATGCATTATCCACTGGCCAGCTCCGTGTGTACAGTCTGTATATGCATTTGTGTGCTTCTGTATGCTTCTGTACATGTAAATGAACTCTGCAGCAAGCCAAACTTTTAAATTAAAGGGCTTGTTTTTAAAATTACTGTAAAATCATTTCATAATAGATCTACTCCAAAGTGTCCAAAAACTGCTTTCTGTACTCAGTTATGGTTGTGCATTTGGAGAAAATGTATAACTATGCATGCATAGTAAAAGTTTATTTCTTTTTGTAAATAT